ACTTACTAAGACTGCTAACGCTCTTCCTTTTCTTTTGCACAACAACGAGCCGGCAGTGTTTTTACCACTTTTTACAGCACAAAGCCAGTTGCATTCACGCTAAAAATTTGGCGGCTGAACGTAATGATTAACGATTATACACTTGTTGAAAAAATAATAGTCCAGCTGCCTCAACGATCTGCACTTCCACAAAGCAATTCAAATCTGGCACTTACTGGTGGCCAGCACGAGAACATCACCATAAATCAATCTCATTACACCATTATCCTCATTTTCGTTAAGAATGAAAGCCGCGTGCACTTCTTCGAGAGTTTGAAAGACGGGGATGGGGGAGAGGGAAGAGGCTTGCGACGAAGTAGGTTGTTGAGAAATCGAGCAGCAGAATAGGATGATCAGTTAATGAGTAGTTTTGTGAAAAATTTGAGGTTTGCTGTTTATTCATATTGTTGAAAAAATGTTGCAGGCATCTTGCTCACTCTTTCACAAATTTTGTATAAATGAGACAAAGGTGTTTTACACCAAACACTGGCTAACATTTTGTGCGCTTGGGTATTACCGCAGTAATGTTCGTGAAGTTTATCAGACAAATTTTTGAGAAGAAACAACATTCTGGACCTTATAATCTGCTTCCGCATTTCCTGCAGGAATTGGCGAAATTTTCGTACGCTAACGGTTTAGGGTCTCTAGTAGTTCGGCTCTTTTCAAGCTGGTCGTTAGAAAACCGGACTTTGAATGAACTGGCTCGCTGATTTAGCGTAATGCGGGACTGGATGCTTTACTATGGAGCAACTGCGATAGCCTGAGTATTTATTATTTACTGGTTTTTCTTTTACTTTTTTGTCTGAGTGGTATATGCTATACAGGGTGTCCCAAGAAAATGTATCGAACGTTTGATCGTCAATATCTCTCTTCTAAAGAAGTCTTTTCCCTTGCTTCAGGTACCAATCTGTAGAGCTGGCTTCAGCTTAGATTTGCATCATAGAACGAATCACTCATCTCTCTTCATTACTGTAGGATTACGGTAGAAACTTCAAAGAGGGTTTTAAGCAATGAAAGGCCATATTATGAAAGGCCTCAGAAGGGAAACAAAACAGCCTGAAAACTTTTACATTAGGCTAATTAGAGATGCTGATTATAACTGTAAAGTTCCCATTTTATTATGATGCTTCATTGAAGAGTTATGCCAGGTAAGAGGTAGCGGCCATTTTTTCAGTGTTCCTAAAAAGTGCGGTTACACTGTTTAGAAAGCTTCGTAATTTTGTGAATCGTTGAGTTTTGAACTCAGCGTCCATAAAAGCCCCAACACACAAGTTTTCACAATTTTTTGAAAAATTTTGAAACGGCGGCTTTTTCCACATTGACACCATATGTTTCAAGTTTCTACCGTAATCCTATAGTGATGAAGAGAGATGGGTGATTCGTTCTATAATGCAAATCTAAGTTGACGCCAGCTCTACAAAACGGTACCTGAAGCAAGGCAAAAGACTTCTTGGGAAGTGAGATATTAACGATCAAACGTTCGATACATTTTTTGGGACACCTTTATATTGCTTTGTTGCGTTAAGCGCTAGTCTATGATTAAATGTACTACGATTCAAAGTAGCTTTACAGCTCGAACATGTTTTTCTTCTCATTCAAAGTCCTTGGACATGTAGAATGCATTGACGTACGACTCGATGAATACAGGTGTCACAGCGTTCCATGCGGTATGAGATGTAATTGTGTGCAAATTCACAACATCTTAGCCAAAGCAAGCGTCTCTATTCGATTCCTTATGATTTGAGAGATGAATCAACATTCTAGCAGCTCTCTCACGAAAGTCAACGTGTGGAGAAACGAAGCACATTTTTCCTTAGAGGACCATGCATCTTACGCACGTCTATGGGCGCATATGAGTGCATCTCCAATTCTCCATCATCGGCAATTTCAGATATCTCCATTTCAGCTGTGTGGCTATGCACTACACCCTTCTATCAGCCGCAGACGCTGTGTTCATGCGAAACATCCGTTGTTTTTACGCCAAAAGAGCTCGAAATAGAGGCGCCAGCAAAGCGCATTAAAAACACGATCCTGGCGAATGACTTCGAAATTACAAGGACTTTTGCATACGGACGAACAGCAGCAGCAGCGGCGGCTGCAGGACGGACGCTCGCCTCACATTCCGCCCGCGCTCTCTCTCTTCACTTTCATCGAGTGGTCCGCGCCGGTCATCGATCGATTATGTTGGCCGAGTTTTACAATCATATCGAAATTCACCGTTTTCCATACTCAAACACTCACTCGACGATGTTCTCCACATCCTAACGTGGAACAAACTTCAAAGAAGCTCCGTAGTTTGTGAATTCAGGAGAAATAATTGCGTGAGCTTGTGTGATGAAATGTCTCGAAAAATTCCGGAATTTTCCGCGATAGTGACGTTTGTTGTCATCACGAATTCAATGCCATGTGTGTATGTCGGGTTTATGCACAACTCGTTGTTCATTTCCATATTTGCCCAAGCAGCGATGAGATTGTTTTCACGGCGATTGTGTCGGTACGAGTCGCCTGCAAACACCTCGCTCTGTCACAGCGTGAACGTTGCCCGAGTGTGTCATGTTACTCCTCTTACTATGATTAACACCTGTATCTCCAGTTCAGTTTCCGACTGCAAAGGTCATGATCTGCTAAGAAACATCCCATATAGTCCCTGATCGAATCCGAATCCACTTTCGTTTTGTGCCGTACAACGTTAATAAATCACCTGCTGAACAAATACATAATATTGTCAACTTTTTGAAACCTGTCAAAACACTCGGAATCTCAAAATCAGTTGCATGTACCATTTAGTTTTCGGTGTCTGATGCGGTGCTTTCAGCCATATAGTGTTTTTGATTTATGATGGAATCCTGTTCGACTTAGTCATGGTCAGCTTCTAAAAGCTTGCTTTGCCGCTCGTCAAAATGCTCAGCTTGTCACGGAGAACCAGGCTTTTCCGTTTTTTGCTTCCTCTTTTTTGTCTTTTTACATGATCTCCTCGTCCGATGCATTCTTCGATGCTGCCTCTGGTAAATAACAAATTTTTGAGCGCCTCCACCAATGTTCTTCAAGAATTCTCGTGATTTAGTTTAGTATACAAGGGTGTGTTGAGCCATATTAATGCGGCAAAACCTTCATTGTCCGATGTGATCAGTGCCACCTCTGAATACAAGTAGACGGGTTTTTTGTGAGCTGCATTACGAAATCAGTTGTGGCTAAAAAAAGTGTCTTCTGTTCTTCTCGTGAAGTCGCGTGTGTGTTCCCATAAGTGGAAGTGTATCTACCATAGTCAAATGCCTTCATTCTTTGGAAGCAAGTTTATTGTTCAGTTTTGCTTAATTGTTGTGAGCTGTCAGAACACACTATTTTTTTATATAATGCTCGTGCCGTCTACTCCAATTTAATAAATAATAAGAAAACCCAACAAGGCGTAGGTGATGTATTTCTACGTAGGTTAGACACCCAGGCGAATTGACAGGTCGTCTTCTTCCATGGCAAGAATAACTTCCTTTTTCTGAGTTTCTTGCTCGTTGTCCAAGCCAAACCACGATTTATCTGACCGTAATTCCGTACAAGAATACGACATTAAATCTGGGACAATGCCGCGACAGTTACATTTCCAAATTCATGCTGTGTGTTCCAGAAAAATGTCACTTTGCACTTCTTCTTCCACACATTGTCGTTTTACAACGTTCGAATTGTTAGTGCGTTCTACATGGGGGTTTCGGGCGCGTGCACTTTATTACTGCCGCGTGGCCTTGCTTCATTTACATCGAACATTGTTGAACGAAACGAAAGAGAATAGATTAGTTCCACTTGAAGATTACCGTAGTTTGCTTCTTCTGCTTGTTCAGAACTCCACGCGAAAAGTTACTTTTGTAGAGAATAGTTTGCGGAATTCCTTATTGTAACAGCACGGTAATAAGAGTTGTTATTTTGGCAATCGCTTCGCAAAGGCGCCGAGAGAAGTCTACTGTAATTGTTGGGTAGCCTGCAGTTCAGTACTCCATTTGGAGTACTGCTTGGGTGGTCTTAAGTACACATAGACTTTCCATATATTCAGCTAACCATTTAAAATATACGACTTTCGCAAACTTTGAGTCACACTTTATGGGAACTGAAGCTTCAAGGGGTTGGGTTAGCACTAGGCGTCTAAGTTTCTTCGTTTTGATGAAATCTCGCCATTATCTTTTCTAACACTCACATCTTATAGAGCAAAGACGCTCTATAGCATGGTCACCACGTCTCTGTATAAATCGTGATTGGTGTTTAAGTTCGATTTTTTGCGCTGGAAATTGAGACACGGCCCAAATCTTCCTGCGGAGTTCCATGATCTGACAATAGGCGTTTCAAACACTCATATATACAGTCAATCTAAATTCATGAGTAGAAGTTGTTAATGATAAATGGCAAACTCGCAGAAAGTGGTTTCAAAATCCCTTCCAGACGCTTAGTTATAGCTCATTCATTCAAAATTACAGTTATATTTTACAATCTAGTCTAGTCTCTCAAATATCATCATGTGCAGTTGTGGAAAAAAACTTGTGGCATGGCTTTTGAAAAGAAGTTTGAGGCAGACTTTGCCGTTTAATTTTTACATTGAGAGAGTACGCCAGGATGCCACCGACCTTTAAAATTAGTTATTTTGAGGCATCAAAACAGTTAGGATTTTAATGACATCATTTGCGAGGAGTACGATATGCTGTATCAACTGCTACTATAACGTCTATATCTTGTGGAGTTTTGCTAGAAATACTAAATGAGTAACTCTGATTCTAGCTTTGAGTTGCGAAAGCAATCACCAATCTTTGTAAAAATTGTGAATGTCTGAGACTAGATTTACATGTCAACGTTTGCTTCTCGACTATCTGTTAGTGACTCAACGAGTTGGAAACCTCGAATGTTGTCTATCTTGATTTCCCTCATAAATATCAACCTCATGGAAATATGCTGCCTAGTTATTCATTCATTATCGGTTTTCTCGTAGCATATAAATTCCGCTCTCGATCTGCACAGCAAATTTGCAGATGGAAAGAGAGAGCAGGCACTCGAAAGAGGAAGAGGAAGAGCTAGACCGAAAGATAGCTCAAATAAGGGAAAAGAACCTCAAGATCGAAGAGCGGAAGAAGGTGAGCCACTCGCGGCTAAACAAAATTTTTGACAGATTGTCTTAGTTTGCAAGTCACGACATAACCATTCATCACCAACGAATTGTTGGCATTAATTGATGCCTAGCAATTGCCGAAAAGTGGTAGCTCCTTTTTTTACCGCGACAACTGATCCATTGGACAGCTGTTTTCGCTATCACGAACTCCTTTCATCTTCCACTAGAACTTACGCAAAAAAAATTTTTTTTTGAGGAACGCCAAAAAAAATTTTTTTTGAGGAAATCGACGCGGATCGAGCCAACCATACCGATCAAGTACCGCGGAAACCTTCGAAAGTTAGTGCGTTTTGTTTCCGAGCATCTCTTCGGTTTATGACAGTAATTCTTGCAGCCCTCTTCTCCTCGCACCGCTAATGCGAAAACGGGAAAAGGTGAATGGGACAGGGAATGGGATCACGGGAAAACACCGTGAGTTGCATCTCTCACTAATTTCGCTTACGAAATATTCTTCTAACCAAAACAGTAGTGATATTCCATTTAAAATGGAAATAATTTATCGGAGTGCAGCAACCACAGTTCGATATATGGGTCTTCAAAAGAAAGGGAAACCTTTTCGGAACAGAAAAAAAATATTCTATCTGTTAAGGTTGACTTTTATATCACAGAACATCTTTTGTAATCTAATCAGCTACTACACCATGAATGTTCTCGTAAATGTTCTTTTTATATTTTCTTTCTGGAAATTCGTTTGCACCTTTCATGAAGTTTTCTCCAGCTTTATTTTGCGCGTCGCTCTAAATTTTCTTCTCTACTTAGGGAGTAGACATTTGTTCAAATTTACACTGTAGGTGCGAGCACACTTTGAACAGCTCGTTATTGCGAAAGCTCATTTCATAATCAACATCGAATTTTTCATAAACTTCCGTTTCGCAAACTTGCATAATCCGTACATTTATTCAAATCTATTCAAAACGTTCGACAGCGTTGGGACGTTAGGACGATTATGCGCCACAGAGATTATATCATGGTGAACTTTTGTGTACGAAGGAAACTTGATGATATAAAGTTCGCAGTCAGCCATCACCTTTCTTTCCGTTTTGATAAGGCTGTGAACGTGATGTTTACGAAACGAATGATTAGTTTTGGGTAACCTTTGGAATTTACCTTTGATAATTGCTAAGAACTTGCGTAAGGCACATGCCGTACTTGATCCGCTTGATCCTATTGGTTTCCTTTACTTCATCTATATATCAGTAAACTGACCAATAGCGAAGTGCATGAAGCGTCAAGTGGACATCACCCCGCTATTGGTCACTTCACGCATTTGACCGATAGCGAAGTGAATGAAGTGGACCGATGATACTTGCTAATACTTGCCAGCATGTAAGACTATAGGAGAAGTGTACTGTAAAGGGAACACGTCCACAACAAGCAAAGCGCCGAAGAATACAAACTAGCACTCAGCGACGTAGGATTGTCAAAAAGCTGCACTTAGCGCAGGCTTCCTCTGTCTTCTGCTCTTATTTGGAGCCTTGTATTTGAGTGGGGATAGACTAATTATTTTTTAAATGACTGCGAAGACCAAGGAGCTTGTTTTATACTAGGTTTTTTAGTGCGGAGACATGGCGTGAGAACGTGCCGTCCATAGACATCGTGAAGAAGTCGGGAGGTCGCGGCGGACATCAGCGACCAGCACATCGAGGACAACGAGGCGGCCAGAAGTCACGCGGTGCACCTCGGACCGATGGAACTCCCAATAATTCGCAGGTACTCATCATAATATTTGGACATTATCTAACTTCAAAATTTCTTGGTAAAACAGATGGTGCTCAGTTTTGGTAGTGCATAACTTTGCATTGACACTTTCGGATTCGTACTGTTACCAAAAATGTGAAGCTGGTGCTTTGCAAGAACACTGCTCTAAATCGCGAATCTAAGTCTGTTACAAAGATAAAAGAAAATTGAAAGGGTTTAGACAAAGAATAAAAAACATTTTGCTGTCAAAGAATTTCTAAAGTCCGCTATGTTGTTATTCAGCTACTTTTTAATCACAATGGGTAAACTATACTCTTACGGAGGAAAAGCTGGTCGAAACGTACAATTCAGACTGGTATCCCTGAAAACGTGGTTTCAGGATGAATTGCTTGTTTAGTATCAGGCTGATAAGTCTTGCACCAAAAATGTGAGGTCGAAAATTCAAAACTAATGCCTCACGTTTTTCGTGACCAATAATCGATCAATACAATACATGATAATATAGTATCTTATAATATACCAGCCGTGTGTGTGCGTAGAAGTGGGATGGCGTAGAAATTTGGCACATTGCCACTTCTTAAAATAGTCAAGAAGTGGGTGTCTGCAAACATCTGCTAATAGCAAGACCGGGATATAAGTGAATTCTCTATAGGTTTTACATATTGAGGTGAATGAAATATAACAGCAGAGCTGTGCTTAGCTCCCCAAATCTTGGCATATGGAAGATACACAGCCTTAGAACATCAACTTGCTGGGTCTAAAATAGCCAAATTTGCTGAGATTGTGCAACCTGGACTAGTTTGCCATCTAAGTCATCTGGAAAACTTTTTGGAAGAAATGAAAGCTCTTCTGTGACACTGTACTGCAATCCCTATTCCTGTTTTCAATCTCCCCCCCCCTGCCCTGTAGGCTTATCAGCATAAGCATATTTTGCTTTTTTCCGAAAAGTCCCCTTCAAAAGTTCTTCACATTTTCCTAATTCCTTATTTCTTCAAAATTGTGCCACACTATTCATATTCTTAAGTTTTTAAATTTTTAGATTAGTTTTAAAAAAAATCTAATCTAAAAATTTATGTATACCCAGCGAGAGTAATCTCAACCTTCCAACGCACTTTCCGCTTTTCTATTACTTATTTTCCTCCAAAGGAATGTTTTTCGAAAAACCTTGCGGAAAGGTCCCCGACCCCTTTGAGATCAGGAAAATCTGACACTTATTCCTTTCATTAAAAAGTAATGTCCCCAATATCAATATGTAAATTTAGCAGTATCAAAGTGTTTGCGCTACATTTTGCTAATATTCATTTACCTTTCGACTACATCCCAAAAACCATTTTTGAGCTTCTCCTGTCAGGACGCTCAAAGCTTTGATCTCTGATTTGCTTGGAAACGTGCGTACACCTTTGCCTTTGCTGGAGTCAAAGTGCAAATCTCTCCAAGTTTGTCCATTTCTCTCCCCCCCCCCCCTGCCTCTCCCCTCTTTCGTATCATCTTCCTCTACCCTACCCCAAATCTCAATTTTGTGGTATTCAAACCTCATTTTTCGTACTTCCAGCACTGGAGACTTTCATCTTGCTTTCCTTCAACTCACAATGATTTATGTCCTCATCCAATATGGTTTCTATATTTTGGCTGATGTTTTCCAAAACTTCAAAACCTTGCTAGCGAAAGCTGGTATTGCTGCTCGCTAACTGATATAGTAATCTAATGCATAAAGAAAACAGGACTAAGTAACCTTCCCCCTTCCAGCATTTAGCTTGTCTACCAAGTCACTCTGCTGGTTAGGGTTCTCGATTAACATCATCTAAGACAGGCGCCACTATCATCATGAGCCACAGCTCGGTGCATCTGCAGCACCGGCACATAACGACAAAGTTGTTGACATCCGAATCGCGACCACGAAGGGGGGGGGGTGGGTATCTTACATGCATGAGTCATCTCTAGCGCTTTATTTTAGAGAGATACTGAGAGTTGAAACTAAATTTTAAATTCGAGTGAAATAATTTGAAATCGTAGTTGTTCTCGGGACATCCAACAGCGTCGAATTTTTTTTATGGCCCAGGATATGAGACTGAGATCAAAAATAGTTTCAAATTCATTCAGACTATGCAGCATATTTCTTCATGATTGCCTTCTAGCTTGCATAGCCGCGCTACATACTAAAAAGATTGTTCTGTGAAACCACCGTTAGGAAGCGCATTATTCTAGTTCTTCAAAATATACAGAAATAAATGAATTTTTTGTGTGAATTATTGCAAGATAGCGAAAATCTCGGTACAAGACTGATGTGTCAGCCTGTTAGTTAAAGCTAAGACTAGTTGCCTCGATTCAGTACCATTAATTGGGGGAGACGGTCAAGAGGCGTGATTTTTCTGGCTGTCACCAACTCAGACTCCAGTTTGGTGCTATGCGAGTCTTCAAAAAGTATCAGATAAAGTACATTAGCTTACCACCTGTCTGATGTTACTACTTGCTGTATTTGATGGTTTTTGCTGGATAGTGGACCCAAATATTTACGAATTTGTTCTAAACTGCATTTTCATGGGTTTTTGACTTCAAAATTGCTGTTTTGAATTGATTTCAAGTTAGCAAGATTGAGCAGCTCATACAGCTACCTGATATATCTCCTTCTGAAGTTTAAATGCTTCTAGAATGTTACAAAACACTTATTATGTGCTATTTGCTGTCCATCTGGCAACAAAAGTCGCGCCCCTTGACATACACCCATTAATTGGCACTTGCTCACATCCGTAGGTTCAAGCTTTTTTGCAGAACCAAAACCTAGTCTGTGGATATTATGTTCTCGTCAATAAGCCATTTCATTCAGGTATCTAAAGGAAGCAGACTCGAGGGACGTGTGAGTGTTCAGCATCAGGAATCAGGGACCCCTCGGGGTAGAGGTCGTGGAAGAGGAAGCGGACGTTTGCAGGATCGCCATGCCACGCAGGGAGATGATGAAGTGAAGAACAACGTTAGGAAGGTGCGTTGCGAAATTTTCTCGCGGTGGGAGGGGGGGGGGGGGTGGGGAGATAGTGAACACTCGGGGCCGCATGCACTAACATCCCCGCGGGGAGGGGATCGCAGCTTAAAAGAAAGCTTTATATTTCGAAACTCCAGGTACCTGGATTTCACGTTGTGTGCCTATCCGGAAGTATTCCTACTACCCCTCACTATGAACATGTTGAAGAGGAGCGAGAAGCTGTACGATTCGCATTTTCCAGCTTTTGTATGATCCCTGATGATCCCCGGCGCTTTTCTTTGAAGTCATTTTTCTTTCTCCGAAGTTAACGAATAACCTCCAAAGTTGTGCAGATTATCTAACCCAACACTGCTTAGCATGTTGCTGGTAAGAACAAGTGATGTATCGGAGTCATGAAACTTTCGATGATCCACAGGTCGAAATTTGAGGTTTACCGAAAAATTGGACATTTCAAAAACTCATTTGTTCTCACCAGCAACATGCTTAGCACTGTTGTGTTAGATGTTCAGTACATCTTTGGAAGGTTTCGTTAACTTCGGAGAAAGAAAAATGACTTGAAAGAAAAGCGCCGGGGATCATCAGGGATCATGCAAAAGCTGGGAAATGTGATTTGTACAGCTTCTCGCTCCTCTTCAACATGTTCATAGTGAAGGGTAGTAGGAATACTTACGGATAGGTACACAACGTGAAATCCAGTTATCTGGAGTTTCGAAATATAAAGCTTTCTTCTAAGCTGCGATCCCCTCCCCAGCGGGGAGGTTAGTGCATGCGGCCCTCGGTGTCGTAGGGATCTTTCAAGGCAGTGGTTCGGGAAAATTGTCGCGAGCTCTCTACACCTAGACCAGTGCTATGCTTGTTTGCTTAAAACCTCAAAAAAGTGCTTTTTACGGCTCTGGAGATAGCTGGAGGGAGGGGCGAGGGATTCCCGCCAGCATCGCAATTAGCTGCCTGAACCGATCAGCCAACTACCGCAATGGATGGACTTAATGTCTCCTGCAGCCAGTCGCTGTTTATGGCGGGAATCCCTCGCCCATCCTCTTCAGCTATCCACAGTAAGAAAACGCCATACAAACTTCTTTTTGACTTTTCAAGCACAGCACTCGACTCAGCATCCAGAAGGCCACGTAGAAGTGGACAGCTTGCGGTCGCAATTTTCTCGGCCTACTGCCTTTAAAGGAGCATTTCCAACAAATGAGCCCTTTCAATCTGAGATTTTTTTCGCACTAGCCCGTTTTTTCCCCGATTGTTCAGGGACCATATAATAAAGGAAAGAAAAGCCTGTAAAATGATGATTACTACCACCAGTTTGGAGCATTATTCGGGGTCAGCAAGGAATGTTTCACATTTTCACTCCAAAAAAAGCTTGTAGCCTATAGTTCACAATACGCATATGTGTAGAGGTCCACAAATCAGTAAAACAGGGGATAGAAGTCCGAAAATCTACATATTCAAGATTATTCATCAGTTGAGCTCTATTTTAGATGAAATAAATACTTTACTTGCTTTATATTTGCCTTTTTTTGTTTAACTCATGGGTCCACGTACGTAGTCCAGTCAAGCTTCTTCTAGCGTTATGTCATTGGGTTACCATCGGTATGGTATGAGTCACCAGGTAAAATTGCAGAATGACGGTGCGCTTAATCATGCTCGTAACACGCGACAAAATGCAAAACCTTCCCTGAATAGCAAGGACGATTCAACAGCAAAGAATGCTTCCGGTAAAAAGACATCCAAGGTGGGCATGAAAATGCTTTTGTAATTTTTTGCGCTTTGTATCTTTCTTGATACGGATATTGCTCGGCACAAAATTTGCGGAAATTCAAACTGCGCAGTAAAAAAAAGAAAGGACGGGCACCAATGCAAATTTACTCTTCGAATTTAGATACGTCTTATATGTCATGGAAATAGCTTTAAGGAGTGGTATTGTTTTCAATTTCAGTTTTTCCTCGGTCTATCTCCATTAACGGCGTATCATGTTTGAAACTAGAAAGTTATTGCTTTCAGAGTTTGCCGTAATTTTGAAAATTCACCTTGGCAAAATTTTTTTTCAACTTAATTAGAATGCTTAATTTGTGCTTTCACCCAGAATCACACGTTAAAATCTGTCGGTAATGATTATACATTTGAGCCTTCTCTGTATTTTTGTCCTGTTAGTGCTCTTCTCTTGCTCTAGCAAGGAGGATTATGGGCACTTCAAGAATGTATAAATTTTATGCTTACCGTCACGGGTACTTTTTCATCTTGACAGTCTCATTCTTGTTTTTACGATTGTTACATACTTTTGGCGTAGACGATCTAGCCTACGAACATACAGTCTTGCTCATGAGAAACATTGCAAATTATGTACCTAGTATGCATGAGTCTTATTCCCTCGTTGGCACTCAAAGAGCCTAAGCATTTGCGGGGAGGATTTACACATTGATTTTGCCAGCCGATGTGATTTGGTATCCGATTGGTAGCCGACGTTATTCTTTTCCCTTTCTCACAGTTTGTTTTGACGATACCATAGAAGTCTGCGCAGTTGGTACAAATATCGCTTCATAAATGAGAAAAGCTTGAGTATCTTGAACGGAACTCAAATAGTCAGGTTCAAGAATTCACTCTTCGTTGCATGCCTTTAATCTGGAACTTTTCTGGGAACTCTAGTGAAGCTTGTTCACCCTACGCATCTCAGTATTTGATCTGCTTTTATTTTACTAACCTTGGCCAATATGGGTGAAAACTTGCTTCTCGTCTGAACATCATTCTTAGAAACTCAAAAAGGGCAACAGTCTGTATATCTGTTTGTAGTAGCTTTTGTCCTTCAGCTGAGCGTCTTGTTGTTTTGTAATGCTGCAAATTTGTTAGAAACTTGGCATGTCATTTTCGAAATAGTAAGTACATTATTCCCATACTTTTTCAGAGACGTTACACGGAGAAGTATGAAATCAAACAATTGCTCAGAAGAATTGTGAACAAAGTGGAGAAGAATGAAAGGAAGGAAAGGCAGAAGGAGAAGTTGGCTGCCGAGAAGAAGGCAAACCCAGCTGAGACGAAACACGAGAAGGCCAAGGAACCCAACAAGAACACCTCTGATGCACCTTCGAAGACAAGTTCACCTCCATCCACAGAAGTCGCTCCGGAACAGCCGAAAGCAAAGGATGACGGGGAAGCTAGTCCAACCAAAGAGAATCAGAACCATGTCGAGAATGCCGTGCAGGACAAGCAGGACCCGGTGAAGGCGGAAGAGGCTGTGAATGAGACGAACGAAGCAGCAGAGGCGGCCGATGCAAATCAGAACGTCATCAAACTGGTCGAAGAGAAGGTGCTGCAGATCCAAATGTCTTAAGAAAATACACATGTGTACACAGAGATCATTTACTGCAATGTCATGTAATGTTATGTTGCTCTTACGTTGTCTGTGATTTGATTCAGCCTTAGTCGTCGCGGTCTTTTCCTTCCTGCATCATCTCTTTCGCTTCGTTTATGCATGTACATGTACATACAAAGCTTCAGAAATAAACTATGGGCTTTAAACACAATATTTTTCATACATTCAATTACAAGCAAAAAGTTTTAGCAAAACAGCATTTGTTGTTACAGGCTTGAAGAAGTTTTCCTAGAGAGTGCTTAAGCTTCATATTATTAGCATAGATGTACAGATTTTTCCTAGTCGTAAATGTTCTAGGATGGCAGAATACATCCAAAAGTGAAAACGCACTGTGGTAGCACGATGATTATAAGCATGAGTTCTCCTCAGTCTCCTTTCATCTGGACTCGCTTAGACTGCAGGATGAGTGGTTTACAGAATTTCCTCACAAGTATAAAATCCGATAGTAGGCTCTCCAAAAAGGGCAAGGTAAAAAGTTGATTGCAGGAAGTCGTAGTGAAAGTTGTCTTTACATGGATCTAGTAGGCTTCTCTTGAATCTGCTGTGCTTAGTATCTTGTGATGTAAGCGGCTGCTTTGCATACTCAATGCATCATATTTTCAGTCTTATAGTGTATAGCAATCTATTCTCGTACTCAGGTACGGCTAAACTATAACTGCTCCAGAAAACTTCTCTAGGAAGGCCATTGTTTCCTGCATAGGGTTCTCGATAATCCAAGTAACACTTTGAGACACTCAAGTGAAACTCAAGCACAGCGGGAAATTAGCAGGAGCTGATGTGGTACTGTAAATAGTGATATTTGCTATCCCCTATTTCAGTTTTGTGTTCGCTGTGCTAAGGAGGCCAACTTTCCAGAAACAGAAAAAAAGATATCTAGGTTCGATTTATTCAAGTATAACTTTTCAATGGCAGATGGTATTTTTGGCTCAGTTTGGCTGGTAAATAAGTCCGTTTTGGCATGCAACTTGTTTTAAGGAGCATGTTATTTTCGGAAATTTGATGGAAATTTTTCTTTTCTGCAATATTTCGCCATGAAAAACGTTTTCAGACTAACAGAGTTATTTTTCCGTTCTTCTTGATTTTCTATTTCCAATGGTACCATGTTCATACATAAATTATGTGTAACACATTCACAAACCTTTGAAAACCCCGAACTTGTTTCTTAGCCTACCTAATGAAATCGTTCCGCTGGTTTTCTTAGATTTTCACGAAGTCCCTTAGACTAATTTAAGAATGCATATGGTATGGACAATAAGTGGGCAAGAATGGATAAGTCGTTATGTTTAGAACTATGGTAGATGCTTAGAAGTGGGCTGGAGTTTGCCCTCACAGAACTACGTCTTGCTTGTCTCGAATGTCATCAAATCGTTCTCGAGTGCCAGCGCAACACCTTCTCACACCAGTGTAGGCTAGCCTTGCTGTATTCGTCTAAAAATTCGTCGCAAGCTCTTCAGTAACCATAATTGCTATTCGGCCATGCTGTGCATGCAGAGAATTCACAAAATGTCGGAGTTTCAGAGCATGATGTGTTTGGCTGGGAGAATCAATAAGAGACTTGGATGTGAAGGCGCATGCGCGTGTGCAACGGGGATGGAGGTGAAATTTGATCCGAGAGGAACAAACTACCGTATACCGCAGAAGACCGCACGGGAAAACACGACGAGCTCACGCAATCGCGTCCATCTGCGCTTTTCCCTTCTAGGAAATGCTGCGAGTTTCAGGATGGAGACCGCTCTCGATCGCTCCCTCTTGTAGTTCGAAATGGGAGCAGCCGAACGGCTATTCACTGCTGTTCGCTCTGCTCTCAACGGTGTGCACAACGCGAAATTGATACCACCCTTTAGTTCGTTTGTACTCGCCGCTGCACAAGGCCGACCAGGTCTCTGCGTCTCTGGGCAAAGCGCAGAATCTTCTCGATAGTAGAGCTACCGGCAAAGCCAGATGACAAGCTATAACTGGAACTATAACTCTGGTAGCCTAGAGAAGCCATGTGGGAGACCAGAAAAGATGATTTTCAATTTTTCTGCGGACAAGACGTTAACATCCCCAGTCTCATAATTGCTTACATTGAAAGAATGGCAAAAATTTCTGTCAGAATCGCGATCGGTGGTCAATTAGCACCAAATGTGGTTTATTTTAATGGAATAAACGTTTATGAATATGAACGAGAGACATAAATTTTCAGATGCTCATTCTCAGCGTAGAAACCTAAGTATGTACGTTTAGCATCGATAAAAAGCTTAATGTTAAAGTTGGTGATTCGCTGGCTTGGCTTATCATTCGTGCCCAGCTCAAAGAGTCAAACCAGATTATATAGTATCTATAAATATGAAAAGAAATCGAATAAAAAGATGGAAATCGAGATAAAACCTAAACAGTAATTGAAAACCATTTTCTTTCCTCTTGAAGGCGATCTTTAAACCTGATGAAGTTACTTTTCAAGGAAAGGTAAAATGAAGGAAAACAACTGTCTTGCACGATTTTTGATGAGTCAGTAAAACTCCTGATTACAAGCATTCTTCTCGCAGTGGCCCTTTAGACTGTTCATGAACATCAAACTCAGTCGTAATCGAATTAGGCCTGATTAGCCTTTAACATCATACAAATAAAGGCATCTACCTCTTCAGGAACTACACCATTTCGAAATGCATCGTATTATAAATCACTCGACCTGCTCTTTGTTTACAAATCTATCACCCGGCAGGTGCCCTGACCTATTCAGCTACGGCGTAAACTACGAGCTAACGGAAAACTTTCGAAACTTGGTTGATACAGTCTGCTGATTTTGAAGCTATCATCTACACAATGGGAAATGGGCGGACTTCTAGGGGGACACCTGATATATGAGTCTCTGAGTGTTGTGTATTGAAATCCATCCACTGGAACGTATTATGTATGAGCTTACGGCCTGCTATGACCCTCTATCAAAAGCCACCTTATTTGGCATGCGTTTCAGCAATTTCACATTTGTTTTCCTTGCTTTTTCCCTTTTCTTAGTGCACTAGCTGTATATCGTAAAAGCGAATATAAAATCATCCTTCGTGTTAGTTGGGTAAATGCTATAGGACACTAGAAAGTTGAGCCTGCATATTGTGCTTATACATACCATAAAAACCCCAGCTTCATTGATCTAAAATGTAAGCAGGATGACTGTTAGGTGTTTGTTTTGTCTAGAAGCAATATAATGTGATCGCTCGTATAGAACAAACAAACTTTGTGACGGGAAATTCAAGAAACTATGTTGCACCTGATGAGTATTTCCCTTCAACCAAAACGCATGTTACACGTTTAAGCATTCTATTATTTGATTCTAAGACTACGGTAAGTGTCCCTACGATTCATCTAGTGTCCAATTGAAAGCCAGGTGTCAGTACGTACTTTTTCAGCTCTCCATATGCAAAATTTACTACTCAAATAGCTTGCATATATCTTTTTCTGCCTATTGAGAGTGATCTTTCACGATGTGAGCTCAACTGTTGCGAAGTCCAAAGCGCAGAATGACTAGCGTCACTCAGTTTTGACACTTGTCATGTCATCCGACAGTGTAAATGATTTGGTATATTCGAGACTCTGTAGGCCAATGCTCAAGCAAGAAAAATGTTTTCGATCTTGGTATTTATTTTTCTGCCCTGCTCTAAAGCGAGTGTTCCGACCCACTCAAATACACGAGTGCATGGGCTCCGAGCGAGCCATGTGCGTTACCTGATATGTCCATCTGACTTACATCTGCTTGATGTTTGCTCTAGGAAGCATGTACTACGCTACCAGCTGGCTCTATGTGCTGAGTGGTTTAGGAGATCAGTCCACTCCATACAATCAAGACGGAATTGGATCTGGTGGATATTCCCATTCCTAGGATCCATCATCTTCATAGAAGATCCAGCCGATATCCTAAAAAAGTCCCTGGAAATTTTGATGCCATTTTGGCTTGGTACCAAGTGCAGAGTGGAAGAAGGGAATCTGAGTTCCAGCTGGTATGCCCGAATCAGCAATAGCTGTGTTGGATGTGGCCATTGAACACGTAAGTTTCCTCTGTAACGAACACTATCGCTGATTTTGTTCAGATTCAGTTGCTTGATGTTGACAGTAGTTTACAATTTCAGTCAATATGAAGCTCCCCAGAAGAGGAAAAGTCACTTATCACTACTTCATTAAGATAAAAGCTTTTGCAAACTCTACTAGGATTTTCACGAGTTGTTCTTTCACACCTAAAGAATACCAAGAATTCATGATGTAGTAACCGAGAACAAAAAATCCTAGTTTCTTTTCTGTGTTCATTGATTTCACAATATGCATTCCCCTTAAGAGCAACAGACGAGAGTTCTTCTGGAACATACTGTAATCGATTCCCTCTCTAGAGTGAATTGCTCTCGCGTAACTGGACACCTCAGTTCGGTTTCGTCGTGTTGTCAAAGGTTTTTGCTGAGAATGAAGTGCGACGAGTGCTCGGAAGAGCAGCACAATCAGGTGGCCATCAGGTGATTGCGGGGCAGTAGTTCGCGACTGATTGTACTCCGGGTACTCGGTTGTGGTTCGCTCATGCTTACTGTCTAGTGCTGGGTATGTGTGGTCCGAGCCGGGGGGCCCCGAGAGCGGCGAGCAGCAGTCAGGGGGCTAGGGGCGTAACCTGAGATGTTCGGCGACGGACAGACAGGCGATGCAAGCGTACGCGACGGCGGCTGGATCGGCGGCTCGAATTCACACAATCCCGTAAGGAATATCGCTTTCAACTCTCGCTCTCCTTCTTATTCGCAACTTATGGATCAGGTTACCGTTACGCCCCAACCACCCCACCATACACTCACTCTCATACACACATCATACACGATCTGCATTCGCAGTTTGTCATTCGGGTCGTACGGTGCTTTCATTTGGTCCCCCCTTGTCCCCTCCATTTTGCATCTGTACTCGCCAAGAATCCATTCTTCTTCTTCAGCGCCACCACCTCGTACTCGGAACAGGAGGTCTCATGTATATGCGAATCGCTCTTCAACGAAGGCCTACAGACAGGACGAACTGAGCAGCTGGTAACGAACTAGTTATTGCTTTCTTTCGCTTTGTAGCGAGTTATGATGATGCTCAATCACTGCTCGATCAATTCTTTACTCATCAATCCTTCCACTCACCTAAGTGAGTGACAAACATGACAGCCGAGTTGCGGCTGTCACTCCGCTCTATTATTACAGTATGACCGACCAACGGCGGCTGCGGGTAGATTGTTAATCCTTGGGTGCTGGGATCTTTCGGCAAGTGTGTCAAGAGACAATTGGGGTATGGATCTGTAAAAATAAGAAAAAAGGATCATGGTCAATAATGAACAACTTCTCTAAGTGGTCTTTTCGATTTTAATAGTCGTGCTATGCTTGTCCTGTGGACCTTTCCTTAATTAAAAGTGTCCTCATTTTCTTATTGCTAACAGAAGCAATATCCTTTTGCGCAAATCATTCTTTTCAATACTTTGAGATCTTTCTTCCACTTCCAACCGACTCTATGCTTTTTAAGAATATTCAAAGACATATGCCCATCAAACACCAAACAATTACAGTGAGCAGTTTGCGAAGAGTTTGACCCTGGTTCTGGTCAGCGTTCTCTTACTAACATATGTAAGGTTTATCCCTTTCTCGTTACAACGAGAGTTGTGAAGTTACTGTTGCGGTCATTAGTTTCCATTGTTTTCACCAGGAAAGCTTCTTTTCTACTATTCCTTCTCAATCCTGCTTCCCCACTTAACCATTTCCTCATTCTTAAGTAGGAGACTTCGTCTCTGTCTGGCATGACTTGTAAGAAAAGTAATCAGCTTTAGTAATTTCCATTACCGAAATCAGCGAATTTGAACGAGTGCTTGTTCCTAAGTTAGTTTTTCTCTCAAATGATGGTTAAGGAGCCATTTGCAAAAGGAGAATTTCATTAACTCTTTTGTTATGACGTTGTGTTGATGCTTGTTAGTTTTTTACTATCGTGTTGATCCTCAACAGTGTTTCTTTCCTAGGATCCTACGCGATTCAAAAAAAAAAAACAAAAATTCTTCACCGCTCATAGCGGCTGTTCGCAAAGCTACAGTATGCCGAACTCGTCACGCCCTAGTGGCGCAATTATCGAATCGCAGGCGCAGCTAGCGCGTGAGAACTCAGCTACACTTCAGCTAATCAATAAACACAAATTGACTCAGAATAAAAGTTTCGAAGTCTTCAATAATGTCCACTTTTCAGACCCACTTCCTATGGACGCTTCCTGATCATCTGAAATGTTTAGAAAGTGCGCTCAAAGCTCATGCTTTGGTTCTCTTCAGCCAACAGCAATGGAAGCAGTTGTATCGGTAATAATCGAATTTCTAGTCGCCATGGACCTCAAAAAATCTTCTAGGTTACTGGAAACGCACAAATTCAGCCCTCATAATCATCAAGTGCTGCAAGATTTATGGTTGAGAGCGCATTACACAGAGGTGAGCTACCTAGCCTTTTGGCTTCCTCTTTCCGATTTTCTTTTTTTTCCACTATCGAGTTAATTTCCAACACTTTTTTCGCAATCGTTAGCCAACAAGTAAGCGCGAGTTTTATGGGTTTTTGGGTTTCTTGCTCTATTCCTTCCGTTTTTTAATATGGAACCATTTTGTGACTGTCGTGATATCCCTTCTGATTCCTATTTCACCCAGCTAACGGTACTCAAGACTACTCGCTGACTATAGTCAAACATTGCGCAACAAAAGCTGACCTATAGTTGAGATATCATATGAGAGTTAACCAAAAGATGACTTAAGATTTTAGTAGCGATTGTGCAGTACTCATTATTGTTGAAATCCAATGAAATAGATTTTCTTCAAAAGTTATTGAGTGGTATAAGCGTTCATTGTTCTTTTCCATTTTAGTCACAGTGGGTGGGAGTAAGTAATTATCTTGGTAATGGTGAGCCTACAGAGCTTTGCTCTTAAAATTAGTGGTGTTTGAAAAACAGAAGTTTTTTCATAAGATGTTATCTGCATTTTTGATTCGTTAATTTACCTACTCCTTTCTACTGCTTTCAATTAGTGCTGCTAAACCGCGTAAAAAGTGCCGGAAACTTTGATTGTGAAGTGATACCATGATGCTTTGGCTAGGTTGCATGTTTTCAAAATCACTTCTATCTGAACTCGTGAATTTTTAAAAGTTTACCTTGCAATGAAAGTAAAAGATTTTAGGCAGAAAAGACTAAAGAACGTGAACTTGGAGCAGTATGCAAGTATCGAATTCGAAAGAAAAATCCGTTTCCGTCAACGATTTGGGATGGAGAAGAAACCAACTACTGTTTCAAGGTAGCTTAATATCTAGTGCTGATTGTTTTTATCTGAAATCTACTTCCAGTCTAAATCGCGGAACGTGCTGAGAGATGCCTACAAAAAGCAAGCGTATCCCTCAGTTGAGGAGAAGAAGCGGTTGGCAGCTCAAACGGAACTGACTGTCACGCAGGTGTCGAACTGGTTCAAGAACAAACGGCAACGCGAACGAGCAGCTGGCACTTTGGAGAAGTGAGTTCAGTTCAGTCCGGGGCGACTACCGGGTCAATTCCTGGCCCCGGGAAGGCTGTTTGCACTAGGCATCATTACTGCTTGAGTATATGCTATGATGTAATCGAGAAGGGTTCTGTTTGGATTAGCCCCCGTCAAATGCGAGAAATCGTTCGCGCAAAACTAACGGCCAAAACAACCCACCTGCCCTCGTGCTCGCTAGTTGCAATCATTCACATTGTGCATCAGGTGAAAAACAGGGAAGAATCGAGTCGAAGTTCTTTAGGCGGTGAACGAAAATCGAGTAAAAAAAATGCTTGCACCTTTTCTATCCTTACTGATGAACCATGCCGTATTTACAAGCGCTTTTCTCTTTTCGAATCAATTCTTGCAGGTTTTGTTCATCACTACTGGCGGTGATTGCAAAATGTCCATCTTCGTTTTTGTGGAAAAGCTAAAAAATTATCTACAAATTTGAGATACTGTTTCGGAAATATAGAACGCATTTCACGAATAATCATAATCGAATTTGAATGATGCACCCAATTTTGACTAATACTCGCTTAGATAAAGTTTGTGTACTTTTCTCTGTATTTCTCTTTTTCTCTGGCTAAGCTGATTGTTAATGTTTGCGACGCACCACCTTTCTTTAACCATTATATGCGCTCGAAGGTAGCGTTTGAGTGCTCGACGTCTATCTGTCTTATTCAGGTAGTTCATAGCTTACAAATATGGAAACTGAATAGCGCGGACCCGTCAAAAAATCGCTTTCGGAGGCTATTTTTTAGAACCTGAGCTATACCCGGCGCTACTCTTGGCGACAACAAGCGCGAACACGTAAACAATATGGGTTAGATTGTACTTCCATGTAAAGATTTGTCAAGGTCTGAGGAAATTTCGTTCAAGGAGATGGGCATACAAAAATGGGGGGGGGTCAGCATATCGACATTGAAAATTGCAAGACGATTTACTCTTTTAGAAGCAGTGCTTGGAGAGCAATTTGCGCATTTAATCTGAATTGAGGTCGTAGTAGTCATTCATAGCAATACACAAATATGTTCAGATTTTCGACGCTGCTTCAAACTATAATACAAAAGAATGAGGGAGTACTTTGATTGTTGGCATTCTAATACTTTCCGTTGGGAACAGGGAGTTTGATTTTTACGAACCCTACCGCTACCCACTCTTTGGCTATCAGATTTATCGTCTCAGTAGAAACCGAAATATAGTTCTCAAAAACATAGTTCATAGCTATGCAAAGCTTTGCTCGTCGCGAGGTCTTGACACCCATCAAGGGGGTGCTCTTCAGACAACACGCTTCCTCTATTGTTCACACCGTACCAAGTTTGTTCTCACCGATCTAGCCCAATATGTACCGTATACGGCGAACAAAGAGTTCGGCAAAGATGCGAACGATGGTGAGGAGATGGTGATGAACTAAGGCACTTCTGCTGATATAACCGGATCTAAATTTGACCATAAAAAAAGCTGATGTCTTGATTTTTATCCGAAAGTTTTCTATCTGAATCGAAGCACCCTGCATGATAAATTCATGTGGTAATGTCCTAGGAAAATAAACAGCATTATATACAGTTTGGGGCCCTACTCGTGACATAGTCACCAATAAGCTATACCTGCTTACAAAATCTATCATAATCTCTAAAAGCTAGCACATGACAAAGCGTTCAAGCAAAGACAAAAGAAAAGAAGAGTAAGTTGAGAATGCCATTGTATGGATATTAGAAGACCTGAAGTAGAGGATCAAATCAATATAAGTTTTTTATATATAGCAAAGAAACAGCATAATTCGAATGAAAAAACAATCTTGAGAAGCCCTGAAAACTGGAGTTTAAGTACATTCAAGATGAATCCCTTTGATTATTTTGAGAATGTGTACTGCCGTACCCAGGAACTAGATGAATAGCTCATGATCGATATACTGATTGTGCATCAACGCAATGGTGCTCTTCATTCTGACTCTATACAAAAATGCATATTTTTCACTCGCATTAAATGAAAGCAATGTTTTCCAAACTCTCAGCAATTTCTTAATAGTTCTCCTTCAGCTGACCGAAGAAATCTCACTTGATGTCCAGTAATTTTTTGTCATGCTCTTATGGAGCTTATGGACTTGATCTTTCCAATTTCGGAAAGGGATTGGACCAGTTTCAAAAATCCGCAACAGATTAGATGACAACTAAGTTAATCAAGGAGCCTATGAATTACCATTAATATTGAGCTTCCGGGTGCAATTTTTTGGATTACAGCATGTTCGAAATACTTTAGAATTTCTTCGCGATGATGTGGCCTATGGAAGAATTTTTACGTCTTCATTTCAGGAGCTCAGCAAAATCGGAGAGTGACGACGGCTCGAGTGGTTGCGATTCGAAGCCAAATCTTAGCTTGGAAACTCCGTTCGCCGACATGCAAGCGTTTGGCTACACTGGAGCTGCAGCTGCATATTTTCCTCCTCCAATGACTTATGATCCGTCTTTATTCAATCTGCAAAATCTCTGACACTCATGTATGATGATGTGCTTTTGAGCTAATTTATCGAATATTGTATATGTACAAAATCTATGTGTTTTTGCCAATGAAACTGCTGCTTCTGAACAGTGTCATGGCGGAGTAAGATGGTTGGGATCATTTATTCTGGACTCTTATAGCTAAGGAAGCACACTCTGTCATAATCTCCACTCATTTTTGCTCGAAGGAATTCCAAGGTCGGATTCGAGCTCATCCTCGTCATCCTCTTCATAGCCATCATTCTGGTAGTGTGGTTTCCTAAGCGTGAAAATCACTTAAGCAATTGCAATTTTCTAAACAACCTACAGTTGAAGCTTCTCCGATTGTTTCGTAGATCCCTGGTACTCGTAAGCGTCTCTACCATTCCTTTCCGGGGGCACAGGATTTGGTTCCGAAAGTGCGGTTCCCTAGCAGAGAAAACTCTATTCTTGAAGTGAAGGAAATTCTTGGCCCTGATTTACCCTGAATACCCATGGGCTATCGACACTTTCACCAGCTAGCTTGGCCGCTTGTACTGCTTCCAGTTCTTTGCGATATTTCTCTCTGACTTCCATCTGTGCCACTTTGTGTCCGGCTGCTAGTCTGCAAAGGTGAGTGAGGTCGGCCTTTTTCTAATGCGTTCCAGCTGTAGCAAGATATCTCCAAAAAAAACTCTAAGTCACCTGATCAGCGCTCGAGGCAACTCATTCTCAAGTCTTCCAAAATTCGCCTCCACCATCTGGTCCATCAACGCTTTTCCTTTAGTTTCAGGCTGAAGGAAAATTCCAGTAATGAGCGTTATGACAATCAGAATCTCTGGGATGATAAAGGCGCCCAAAGTCCACGACGATGTCAGCAGGGGTGTCAGAATCAAAAAACCAACAATTGATCCGATGTGCCTTGAAAGTGTAAGAAGTCATATTCTGAAATTTCGAGTTATCATGAGAGACCTACTTAATGGAGTGAAGGGAACCGAAAGCTATGGAACGAATAACTGTCGGGTAGCGTTGCGTTGTGATTTGCACGATGTTGATCCAAAAGACGCAGTCATTGATCATAGTTGTGATAATAACCAATATGGAAACCCCTTCAATAAAAGATAGTAAAGTAAAACTTTTCCAATTCTCTTCAATGCGTTCTATAGTTTCATAAGTCTGAAATTTCTCTATAAGCATGGCCATAACATAAGATTCCTTACATTTCTCTTTTGCAATGGCAATATTTCCATTTTCATAGATTTGGTTACCGTGAATACAAAGACAATTTTGTGAAGACTCTTTCTCCAATTTTCTTTTTGTTACAAAAATTCTCCCATTCTTATTCTTCAATTTCTCGCGATTCTTGTGGAGTTTCGAGAACATCAGTTCTACGAAAGCAATTTGGGAGTTTCTACAATAACGAAATTTCTGAGTATAATTCAAAAAAATCTAAAATAGAAATCGGTTTATCACGAGCAAAATGTAGAGACGGAAAGCTGCAACCAAAACAAAGCAAGGGAGTCATGAGGATGTTTCCTCTTAGTGCAACAAAACTTATGTTACGACATTAATGAGGTGGAATTTTTTTCTTCAAAACCCTTGAAACGGAACTCACATATATTGTCATACTCATACCCCAAAGCAATGAGCAGAATAACCACACCGAAGAGAATGCCTTCGATCACTAAAACCATATATGGCCCTTAACTCGAAAGTATAGAGAACAGAAATCGTACCTAAAGCACCAATAAACTGAATTTTTCGTCCAAAACCGGGCAAGTAAATGTCAAGAAATATGATTATGAATGGTGTGAATAAACGGAAGATTCCATCCAGAAATATGAACATGATGACTGAGTCTGAAATCACTTGTTAATGTTTTTGAGAATGTGAACTTTGGTTTTTTTGGTGAAAAGCTATGAAATCTCAATATTTTTTGAGCCTACGAAAACGACGAATCTCTAAACGGGTTTTGGAGTGCCAACTCTCACCATGCAATCCTCCAACTGTATACAAATATGTGTTAGATACCATAGCATAGGTGAACATTGACAGAATTTGCATCAAAGACTGTTTCGCAAGTCGCGGTGTACTGAAGTGGGCAGAGGTTAAAGGCACAGTCCACCCAAAATTAGTGTGATACAGACGTTGAATAATAGCGGGGCCTCTAACTAAGTGATAGAACAAGATTCGTTGCAAAAGATGAATTTCGAAGCGAGAAACGTGAGAGATAGAAGCGGCGCGGGTGGCTCTGCCCATCAACGTGGGTGGTCTGGAGGCAGGAAGTCCAATTTCAAATGTATCTAAAATTATACAAATCCGCCCTTATGAATATCAGATTTCCGACACTGCTATCTGTCCTGAATCCCGCTTTCGAGCTCATTACCTTCACCACCATGGGTGGACACCCGGCCCGCTTCCACCTTCTGGAGCTGATTTCTCGATTCGGAACTCATCTTTTGCAGCAGTTGGGCTTTGGGCTATTGCCTAGTTAGCCCTCTATTTTACAGCATCAAAACTCTGTCCTCCATCTAGGTGGATGATACCTCAAGAATATGACTAGCCAAAAATAAAAAATGATTTAGAAATAAAGGTGAAGAGACCTGAACAAATGATAAAAAGTATAGAATCGTTTCTTCTCATTTTTGTGGATTGAGGAAATGTCCTGAGTGGTAAAATGTGCTTTGGTATTGTTCCATCGTTGATGTGCAATATCATTCAGTACCTAAAACTTCCAAGCACTGCTATAACAGCGAATTATTTGAAGAGGCAATATACGTCACAAGCTTTGTCCAGTTTCCCAGTAGCAATCAGCCATCGTGGAGATTCCAAGAATAGCATGAATCCGATCGTGAGCGGCGACGAGACCAAATTTAGGAAAACGAAAAAGTTTTGCCAACCCTGAAGGGGAGGAGTTTGAAGAGCCATAGACTATCAGAAATAGTCTACTACCTTTGTCAAGAAAGCAATCAGTGCAATAGTCATGTAAGCGAAAGGCCACTGGAAAGCATTTGCCATAATCACCCGGTATCTAAGCAAGGAACTTCATGTTGAAGGAGAAATGTTACAAATATCTCACTTATTATTTGTGTACTCCATCATCATGGTCAGCGATGTAACCTGAATTGGTGAGATCTTAATTTAAGCTCATATCTTGGGTTGGAGCGTAACTTTCTTAACTTTGCAGGTTAAACTTTACCAAACAATCAATTCAATCAATCGATTAAGTTTGTAAAAAAGAAACTCTAAGGCCATGTATGGGCACTGAACAGTCATAACCGCACCCGTCTTCATAATGCAGAATAGTTATCTACATTTTGCAGTAGATTGCCACATAAGTTTTGCAACAGTTATTGCAATTTCAAAAGAGTGCTGCTATCTATAACATATACTTCGTATTATATATAATGTTGTACTGGATGCATCTAACAAATTAGTTTTGTCCGTAAAAAATCAAAAGAAGAGTGACATATTCGAAAAATTTCAACCATTGGCAAGGGAAGTTCCAGCTTCTCTAGCTAGAAAGTGTTAGGTCACAAAACTGAAATCAAAACTGGAATCTTCTTGAAAAAGAATTTTGAGCTTCTTGCGGACAAAATTGCAAGAATCACGATTTGGTAGTGCTAATCATATTTTTTTGCACTAGATGGTAAGGGATGATTTTCACGAAAGAAACGAATTATTGAAACTTTCAAGATTTTTCAAGTCTGATGCAGGACTTATGGGACAAGCTGTGGGAAACAAGTGTTTCTATAATAATGATAATTTCTCAACCCCTTCCAGTGTTCAAATGTGGCAACCCCAAACCTCTCCCGCTACCAAACTCACCTCGATCACTCCGTATAGGAAGCAGTTCACTCCCTGAATGCTCGCGTAGGCAATCCATCCTCGCGAGGCTATCGACATTATCGAAGTTATGATGATCAGTAGTTGTCCTGTAAAGAATATCGTCTTCCTGCCCAGGTGGTCGCCCATGTGACCGCCTATGATGGAACCGACGAGCTGAAAGATGTCCTCTTTATTGCTTTCGATGCCTTGTGATCGAGGAGCTTACAGAACCACCAGCTTGAATTATTTCTATCCACTTCACTTTATCGGCATCATCACAGACAAGTTTGAAGTCGGCCACTAGCGATACAAACTCCACCGAAGCTTTCTAAAATGTTTTTATTCCCAAGGTTTCATTCCCTCATCGGACACAGTCAAACACTACCTCAGCGGTGTAAGACTTGCAATTCTTCTTCATAAAGGCGCAACTATCATTATTCGTTGGAGCATTCACTAAAGTTGTGTCATCCTACTGGCAACGAGTCTCGAGCGAAAGTTCACTTACCAGTATAAAATGATCCATTTCTCAGAGTACAGTTCCAGTCAGGTTCCAGGGAGCCAAGTACGTTCATGAAGGTGCTATTTCCTAAAATACGTCATATGTTCTCATACTGAAAATAGCTCAAGCTGATCGAAGTGGGAAGTTGTTGTATAGCAACAATTTCTGGCCAAGTTAAGCTTTGCTCCAAAAAGTAAGACATACCAGCCCATTCTATTGAGGCGTAGAGTATAACAATAACAGCGAAAATTTGATATGGTCCGAATGGGTTGATCTTCTAAACGAAATTGACCAGTGATTGTAATTTGATCTAACTTCTAAGAATGTGAAGTACCTGTAGAACCTCCTCGAAATGTGTGTAAAAAACGACCTCTTTCTTCTCTTTCTTCTTCTTACGGCCATAGACGACTCTTCAAACAAAATAGAAAGAAAATGAGCTATCGCCTACAACAGTTCATCATATACTGACATCTCCCATTTATAGGCATCAAAATAAGTAACATTCGAAGAAAACTTTCCACCATTAAACAGGAAACTCGAGAGATATCAAAGTGATAAATTATACCTTTTCGCTGGTGGAGTATCCATGGAGGCACTTCGACAAAGTTGCGCCCTTATCTGCTATTGCCGCCGCCATAAAGATAATGTGATTCAATTAGTAGTAGAACTATTTCCTGAAATCTGTGACGTCAACATGAACATGCAATATTTCGAAACAGTTTTTATTTTTTAAACACAAAGAACTAGACGCCTATTTTGCCATTCAATTCAAACCCAGCTCCTCGACAAATATGGCATGTAGGTCACATGGACACTGACTGTGGGGCTCTCTTCTGGACTTGCCTTTTTCCGTGAAAGAACAATATTTCTCTTTTGTTTCTTACCAGCGCATATAAGTACATAAGATATTGGAGACTTTTTGACACACTGATAGATAATGTTACGTTTATCTTGGTCATCTTATAAAGTAAAAGGCCGCCGTCAGCTCAGCATGAAAGGTAGACCCTGAATAATTAATGGGAATCGTGGAAACAAATGTGATAGAAATACCCGTAATATATGCGGCAAAATAACATTCGAAAATTATGTGACAAGCCCAACTCCAAATTATTCATTCGAAACAAGTGAATATCGAATATTTTCGAAAATAAAAGTTTCGAATCAACGAATATCGAATAAACTCAAAATACCCTAAATCCAAACAATGAATCACGAGTAAAGTAGAAAATCAAAAACATCGAATTATATCGATTATATTTAACACTGAAAGTCGAATTTCGAATAACAGAACATAACCTTTTTCTTATTATGGTTAACAATATAATAGCAAATTTGATATTATCATGTATGGAAAACTTTTTCAAGTATTATTGGAATATGCATGGTTGATGGTCATGGGCAAACATGACGCCTTATCAGAATCAACAATAAAGACAATGCACTGGAACTAGATTCCACGTTTTGTTCGGAAAACTCTTCTTCTGAATCGTCAGATGAAGATAAGGCGCCTGTCGCTATTAGCGACCACTTTACAACTACATCACAAGATTGTTGCAGCAACTGCAATGAGCTGAAGCAACTGCACGACTCCGCACGATTGTTGCGGCACAACTACAGTTTAGACGGCGCTGATCTAGATCACTGACCACGATCTGAACTTTGACCCCAGAAGCGTATGAATAGCGGACGATTCGAGGATGATTGCCATTGGTTTACAAGTCTTCTGAGGGAAGGGGAGGGACAAGTACTGTAGTAGGAGTAGTACTAGTAGTAGTAGTTGTTGTTGTTGTAATTAAAAGTATAGGCGTAGGGTTAGTGTAGTCGTAGTGGTACTTAGCACAAGTACCGTAATAGTTACTTGACCTTACAAGTGTAGCTAAGTAGTGAGGTAGTTGTTAGATACTAACCTACAGGTTACTGATTAAAATTTTTCAGGTCTCATTCATTAACTCGTCATCTATTACCTCTGTATATTCTTCCGCGTTTTCTATTTCTTACTTATTAAAGGCAGTGGATCGGCAGAGTTCCCATGGCAAAACAAGGTCACAGGGTAGGAGCCCCATAATGGAACTTATCGGCCAAAGCCCGATCTTTCTCTGCCACTTCTAACCCACGCAAAAGCAGCGCTCATTTCCTCTCCTCTCCGACCCCGCCCACCCCATGGATGAGAGACTTCAGAGAGTCAGAGCGCGCATGCCGCAATGCTATAAGCATAAGGATCCCGCAACGACTCTGCGTCTTCGCCATGACAGGCTTCGCGTTCACTCGTCCGTGGTGTCGGAGAGGAGAGAGTTTGAGCGCTGCTTTCGTTTTGAAATTTCGGGGTTAGAAGTGAAAGAAAAAGATCGAACTTTGGCCCATAGGTTCCATTATGGGGGCTCCTTCCCTGTGACCTTGTTTTGCCACGGGTCTCATTCTGCCGATCTACTACACTTAATGATAAAGGTTTAACACATTGACGACAGCGCAGATTTTTGATTGTCTGCCTCTTGGGACCAAAACGTTTCACGAACCAGTCAGCATTCAAATGAAATCGCGCATGCTGCCATTTACAGTACATCCACAGTAGCTGTGGGAGGTTGACAAAGAAGATAGAGGTCATTTCTAAATTCACAGCAAAAGAAAACTTTTGGAATGAGTTTGTACTAGCATGGTCGTTATTTTGACGAAGTTCAAGCTTTGACACACCATGTGTGTCAAGCGGTCCCACCTGGTAGTCGCTTGACACACATGGTTTGTTAAGCAGTCTTCAATCTTATATATAAAGCTGAATGTCTGTTTGTATGTCTGTCTGTCTGTCTGTCTGTCTGTCTGTCTGTCTGTGTGTACGTATGTTCCGAATAGAAAATTTTATTTCTGAACCGATCCGGACCAAACTTTGCACACATACACTTCGAGGGCCGGGCGGGTGTCATAGGCTACTGTTCGTCATCGATCGATATCGATTTTATCTATTTTTTGCAAAATTTGAGCTACGGGGCTGGGAGTTGGCACAGGGGGGTAATCGAGCAGCTGATTACGAATATAATAATGACAGGGCCGGGCGGAGCCGGGTAAGTCAACTAGGGCGTTAATATTACCCAAGTTCGTGGCAACACAAGCCAAACTCCGTGCAAACACAAACCCACAACTACAATTCAATTCAAGTTTCTACACCACCTTTCATTAGTTCTGAACGGAAGACTGCTCACAACTATCGGGAGGTGGCTTAGCTCATGGGAACCATAGTGATCAACATCCAGTATGAAGTGGACCATGAGTTTCAATTTGATAACTTTTGCTGATGACTGTCAATAGCAGTGCGAACTACCTGATTAATCGGAAATGCAATCAGTCAAAACCACATCAATTTTTTTACTGTCGCAAGCATTGGGAGGAATGGCGCTTCCCATACGGTTGGGTGGAGGACATTAGGTCGCCGAAAGAGGGCGGTCCCCACGGTCATTTGCGACATATACGCACCCTTGTACATATGCGGACATGCGTTCCTGCAGGGAATCCGCGCGGGACTCTTCCAAATTCGGCGACCTAATGTCCTCCACCCCATACGGTTTAAAGCCGATCACGCTTTAACAAGAGCTGCATTACTGAGCTTTGCAAAAAAACGGAGACGAAGCGAGCTTGGTAACTCAGTAGTTGGCGCTGCATTAAACTCGTATATTCCCGATGCATTTTTCATTCGAATATGAATTCGAATAAAACATTTGAATACAACATATATATATTCATAACACCGTTTTTTTGATATTCAAATTTTGAATTTTTTGAAATCCCTTTGATTATTAGAGTTTTCGAATTTTATTCTAGGTCCAGTTGATTATCCGAGCTTTCGCATTTCATTCGCAAACGTAAAAATTTGAGTATCGAATTTTGAATGCGAGTAGAAAATGACTCAAATTTAATCCATTCGGACCCAAGTGTAATGTACGGATAGAACCGGGGATATTATCGATAGAACTAATGAACTCTACATGCAAAACTCCAATGAATTCGATTTGAGTTGAAAATGATTTGGAAGAAAACTTAGAAAAATTGTTTTTGGACTTCCGCGATTTCCCGAAATTCTGCAACATTCCGGAAACTTCGCGGAATCACGCCAATCACACAAACTACGGAGCGATTACGAAAATCACATCTGTCAGTACGATAGCTATTTTTAGTGTTACGGTGAGTAAAATCTGAGACAGCATGATTTTTCCAAAATGTTCTGATAAGTCTACAGCTGCTTTTTTGCGCTCGATAATCTACGGAAACAGCACTATCGATGTGCTTACTGGAATCTTTTATGTGCGATGTGCATTGCATTTTCGCGAAAAGATGTTCGTAAAAGAATTTTAAAAATGGAATATCGAGGACATGCTGTGTATTAAGAGATTCGCTTTGATGAGCTGAGCACAGGGCCCAACACGAGTCCGTTTCTAGGCTTTTTGGAAACGAAGTTTCCTCCGACTTTCGAAAATTTCACGAAGTCCCCTTTTACCCTTGCTCTACCCTCCTCCTGTTGGTGAATTCTTGCATACTCATCTATGTAGTTCTTGACAAAACCATTTACCTGCTGCGAGCTGAGAATCTCGCGTATGAGGTCAAACTCTCAAAGAAAACCACGAAATCCACAGAATTTTGTTTTATAAAGCCCTGCATGGTAACAAAACGATCAAAATAGGTCATGAGCTGAAGAAAGGAGGAGAAGAAGAAAGAAGAGTAGAAGAAATCATTAAAATATCGAAAATAGCTAGAACTGAGAATGAAAATTTAAAAGGAGAGGATGCAGGAAAGTTGACGCTGGGGCGCGATATCTGATAAGGCGATTTTCGAAAAAAGAAGAGGGTAAAAAACGACGAACAGGGAGTGATATGAAAATGTTTTTATGCTCAGGCATAGATTTTTGACCGAGGAATGTGTCCATGCTAAAAAGATCCGAAACTTATGTGAAGTGACGAAAATATATGCTCTAGCTCGATCTCAGATCGTCTGGTGGCCGTCTGGAGACGATCTGATTTTGGAAAAGGTATTACTTCACATAAGATTTCAAATCTTTTTACATAATCCTTCCTCAAATAATTTTTCAAGTATATAGTTCAATTTTGGTGCCGTATGATTTTGTGTACGCTGTAAACAAGCAATTTGTTTATTCTAGCCTTGCTTTCAAAACGCGCTCACTTTTCGTCATACACGATAGAGCATGTCAATCGTGTGATAACCTGTCCGAAAAGCTTGTGTTCGACTAAATGGCGCTTATTCTTTGTGCTTGGCCCCGACTCGTCAAAAACGAAATCCCCTCTGCTTTTTGCTCCAAAAACGTCCAGCCTGCTTCCAGACGATCTGTGCCGGGCCCTGGCTGAGCACAACGCTTTTTCCGGATTCACGAATGTATTCACTCCGAAGGAGCTATGGCTATGCGTAGTTTGCGCGTTTTGCGTGATTCCGCGGAATTCACGGAATTCCAGGATTTTGGGAACTTCGGGAAATTTCTAGAATTTTAAGAAGGCCCCGAGATTTCCAGGGAAATTTTGCCGTTTTGCGAGTGGCACTGTATGTGGGCAATTCAGCAAAACTGATATTTAGACTGTGCCGATAGCGTTGCATCAGGTAAGGATCGCTTATCTGTGGCCGTATTCATCAACGAACCCCGAGGGT